CACTCAACATTTCTCTTGATGTGCCTGGCACATCATGAAATTGTTTCTCGCATCCAATCAGACTTTCTCAAAGAAACAAGGAAGCTGTATAATGATTTTGAGAGTAATTCATCCTAGGGTGCAGTAGCACCTTCCACACCACTGAATATTATGTACACAGTAGTATACAATTGCAAGCTACAAGACCGAGTTATAGGAAGTAAAAAGAAAGAGAAAAATGGGACGGCATATCTTTTCATGCTCTCATTTTGTTCCAATTTTATCGTCAGTCCAATATTAAAAGGCTTTCATAGTAAAACTGAAAGTTGTATACCACCTACCTTCCTCTCTCTCTCAACCTCCTGACTACCAACTCAACCAGAAAATTACCCTCGCTTCGCCCTAATAACCCACAACAAAAACTATTGGCTACCACATTGCCTTAAGACATGCCGTAATTGTACTGTGCAAGTGAAAAGCTTTTGGACTAAGGGACAAAAAAGAGCTAAAAAACTGACAAGCATGGCTGTAGCCTAATTTTCACTTCTGCACCGTACAAGAACAGTTAATTTCTATTAGAAAGGTAGAAAGGCCCAAGGCTATCAGGTTGCTCACCGACAGCAACCACCGTGGGGGTGCATGGAAGGGAGAGCAGCTGGTCTGTAATGCTATTTCCTTCCTGGAAGTTGCAATTAAGACTTGTGAAGAAGTATTCCAACAATTGCAAAAAAACATTCTTTCTCACACCGTTAGGTAATGTAGGATAATCATAGCTTGCAAATTCACCCGACTGCTTTTTCTGTGCCATAGTGCCCTTTCTTCATTCATTTCAGATTAGGATAGATTCTTGCACCTAGAATTCATTGAAACAACTGTATACTTGCAACACATACCTCAAGCACCTGCTCCAGGATTTCAGTCTTTTCTTTGAAATAGCATGCCAATTGTGGCAGTAGCACTTCTTCTTTTGCCATGACCTCGCCACGCTTCTCTGCCTCTTCTGCTTGGACAGACCAAAACAAAAGCTCCCTGTTTGGGCTCTTTACAAAGTGCCTGCCTAACAGCGCAGTGCATAGCTTCAGTCCTTCAGCAAAAGTTTCCTGGAAAGGAATAGCGCATAAATCTAGGAAGAACATTGTTAACATTGTTTATAGTTCATTTTCCTTTAACTGATCTAACCCAGTTACCGTAAAATCCTTAAAGGGATGCTGAACCCAAGTGTTGATTCCACAAAACACGCGGTAAAAGCGTGCAACGGGATGCCACAAACACCAGGACATCACTCGTACAGCGATATCTCAAACGGATGACCAAATTTTTCAAGAAAAGGAGGCGCATTTGACAGAGATGATGTCGTCATGTTTCTCCGAGGAGAGGGAACGGCCTCGCGTCTTCTCCGCCTCGCAGCCTTGAGGGAGCGAAGCGAAGAGAGGAGGAAACTCGATATAATGATGTCACGCACCTCGTCGGCCTGGTTCAATCTCGACCTCTTTTTTCCAAAAATACGACCATCCATTTGAGATATCGCCTTATGAGTAGTGGTGTAGGGATTGTAGCGTCCTGCCTACATTTCCTGCATTGTTTTTTCTGAAATACAAATTTCGATTCACCATCCCTTTAAAGAGTGCCCACCGCCACGGGATCACACATCCCGATTGTTTGGCAAAATATTCGTAACATAAAAACTCCAAAACCTCACCCATGCCCGAATTCCTGTCGATGGGAATCACATGAACCACGCGATCTGTGGTATCGGCATGTGTGACAAGCGAGTTTGTAACGGGTTCCGCGTCCTTCTCTGCGATCTGCATGTGCAATATCTGTTCCCGTAACATACGAGGGCTTAGTGAGTTTCCGCAATTATCTGCGATCTGTGTGCGTGATATTGGTTTCAGTGGCATGCGAGTTTTCATCGTGGCAAGAACGCAGGACTTCGTAGCGGATTCCCACATGTTTACCATTTTGTGAAACGCGAATTTGCAGTGTCCATAATATGCAGTATTGGTTCCCATGTCAAGTGATTCGAAGCAGTGTTCATCAGTAATATTTTAGGACATTTTGCATTTTATTCCCAAAGACAGGCGACCTTATGTTTTTCACTATTTATCCCTTCATTTTGGTTGGGTGCCCTTACGGGATTTTACGGTAGTGGTAAATTTGGTGTGCAAATTAGTTAGCATAAACATGACATTAATGATTTCCTACTTTCCTAAAACAGGTTATAGAGAGACGACAAACTGTACCCAATACCAAGTTGTCACCCCTAAATGAGCACATCCCATTCACTTTTACAAAAGTAAAAGTGAATGTAGAGTGCTGTTTTTCAATGGAGAGCAGTGTTGCGGAGTTGCCACTCCGGAATTGGAATGATTCCGGAATCATTCCGCATTTTCGCGACCCCGGAATGGAATGGGAATGGAATGGCGGCAACGTTGACGGGAATGGAATGGGAATGGAATTGGATGCCTTTTGCCCGGAATGGAATGGGAATGGAATGGGCCATGCTCTTTATGTTTTATTTATTTATTTTTTACGTTCAGCTATGCCGAGCCAGTCAGGGAGTCGGTTGTTCAGAAATAAAATGAGCGGGAAACTGCGAAGCCGCGTAAGGCCCTAACAGACTTATGCGCAAAAAAATATGCAATACAAAAAACAAGCGTCAATACAAAGAACAGAGGGGGGAAGGAGGGGGGAGGGGGGGGGGGGTCGGCGGCGGTGGCACCTTTCACCAGTGAAGTTCAACACATATCCGAATGCGTCTGCGCCTCTAATATTGCACGGCTCAAGGGTACGTCATCAGCCGACGCGAATGTGACCTGATGCTCTGGTGATCCGATACCCAAGAAGGAGGCCAGACGTGGCCTCGCTGTGCGGACCCAGACTTCGTACACTTTCGACTCGTCTCGAACGCGCTGCTTCTCGAAGAGCTCGCACCTGTGCCGGCCATCTCAGGTCGCTATCCACGAGGTCTCTGTTTGAATGATGCTAGGCGAAATTGAAGACTGTCATTCATGCGTTGGAGGCGGAGAGTCGGCAGGGAGGACCGTCACAACGGGGATGCCACCATATCGATTTCTCAACCGTAACAGATGATAATGCATGTGCTTCAGGATGCTTCAGGTGGTTCACTTTTCTCGAAAATTCCAAATGCAATTGCGTGCATGGTCTTCAACGAGGTCACCTACAACGAAAGTATGTATTGTCCTTTCATACAGCAGCGTGGGCAGGGATGGGCAGTATTTCAAATACAAGTATTTAAAATGCGTATTTCCAATACTTTGTGTATTTTGCATTTGTATTTAATTACAAAGTAGATAATGTATTTGACATGTGTATTTAAATACTAAAACATGGGTATTTCAAATACAATTGTAATTAAATACAATTTTGTGGGCGAAAATACATCCCTCAAATTTATTGTCACTGTCCAGAGCAGGAAGAAAACTACGTTCTGCACCGATTGCAGTGTCTCCCAATCAAGCACAAGTGTTTAGTGACTTTTTGATTACGGTGCTAGTCCAAGGCAAGAATAATGACAAAATCAACGTTCAAAGGCAGCCTGGCTAAATAAGATCCTGTGACAACTTGTAGTGCTTTCCAGCCTGATTTCCATCCATATTTTTGCCTGGAACATTCTAAATGTGCGGGTCGTCCAGATTTTCGTAACTGGTGCGAGTTGCAACAATAAAAAATTCTCTAGCTAGTGCTGCGCGTTTTGGTCGTCTCAGTTCTTTGTTGATCTGGCCTATACCAAAATGTAATCGACAAAAAAAGCTGCTTGAAACTGTACTTTGTTCACCTATTACGTCTAGGCTGATTACATTTTTGTGATTATATTTCTATTACGTTGCTAGAGCCTCACACACTAACTCCCGAGTGTGCGATGCAAAATTAAAATGAGATACCGAGAAACCCATTGCAGGTGCCCTGAAGTCGCTGACGTAAATTTTGAGGAATGTATTTGGAAAAGTATTTGAAGGAGGCCAAATACATTTGGTTGTATTTGTATCTTGTACTTAAATGCTTTTTTGGAAATGTAATTCGATTTGTAATTAAATACGTTTTTGACGAAGTATTTTGTATTTGTATTTCGATACATATTTGCATGTATTTTGCCCATCCCTGAGCGTGGGTAAAGCTTCATGTTCAAGGCAACACCTACAGATTTAAGAATACTAGTTCATCCCACCGTGACGTCTTGTGATCAGTGCTGACAAGGCGCCCTTATTGGACAGGGAAGTGGTGATGTTTTGATTGAATTTATTTTATAGGTCGAAGTCTTTTCGCATCACTGGTCAGTCAGACAGGATGCCAGGGAAGGGACCGCGGTTAATCCTTGATGGAGCGTTTTTTTAAACCCACTGAGAACTCTTCGTCCGGAACCACTACCTTCAAGGCGAAGTGCCAAGCCTGCAAAAAAAAGTAATTTCACCAAAAACAAGAAAAAAGAAACTTCCACTTCAAACTTAAAGCCTCATCTCAGTTGGCGTCTCAAAGAAATTTGAAAAATGTATTGTATTATCAGTATTTATATTTCTGCCCTCCCTAAAGTGTATTCTTGTATTTTTATTTCCAAAGACTTTTTGCCTCTTTTTAAAATGTATTTCCGATACGTATCACGATACATTTTTATAGATATATTTGAGACTTGAGTATCAGTATCTTAGCAACTATTTTCATCTACCCCAGTATTTGTATCTCCAAATATATTTCTGAATATTTCTGCCCAACCCTGCAACGTAATGCAGCTGTCAGGTGACACTTTTAACGTTTAGGAATTGGAGGAATGGAATGGAGCGACTCAGCCATTCCAGGAGTGGGAATGGGCCCAGTGTCCCGATTCCTAGGAGTTGAAAGGAATGGAATTATCGAAAACTCCAATTCCCCGGAATGGAATTGGAATGGAATAGGGGTGCCCATTCCGCCACACTGATGGAGAGTGCTGTTCACTTTGAACTTTTTATAAATTAATTGTAAGCTGGCTGCTGTCAGTAAACTATCTGGTGTTGGGCATTTATGCGCTATTTGCTATTGAATAGCTGTTTTTGAAGATCATGAGTAAAATTAATAGAAGGCAAGTTGCTCACAAGCATGTCCTTTCCCAGCAGGGTCTTCACATGTGCATAAAACATGGGTTTATAAAAAAGGAGAGGCCACTCCTCCTTCACGTCCCTCGCAGAGTGTATGGGATTCACACTGTTGATATATGCTCTTTGATCGCCATACGTAGCTGTTGAAAGTTCCATTGCCCGGGACAAATCGAGGTCCTTCGTTGCCTTGTGCGCTTCTCTCTTCATCCACTCCTTGCTTTCATTTGAGTCATGAATGTCTCCCTCGCCCGACAACTGGAGTTGCCAATTCAAGCAGCCATACGAGGATTTAGAACTTTTTCTCTTTGGGCGAAATTCTTCTGCTTCAGGAGCTGACAACCGCTTTCCCCGGCTTAGGTTTTCGATCCGGTTTTCTAGTTGATAGAGAAGCGAATCATACCCTGTGCCCATCTTCTGTCCGTCAATCCCTCGATCCTCTAGTGATGCCGGAAACATCTTTACAAGTCCTTCGGCCACACACCTGGCGCAGTCTCTCGAGGGCCGCGATGACTTTCGCATTAAGCCGTTTACGACAACCCTGACAAGCTCTAGCCGGTCCCTGGTCATTAGTGTTTTCCCCGCTGCTAATGCATCCTGTGCGCTGCGTGGGAATTCCAGTTGTAAAATAAAACTGGTTGTCTCCAGTTCGGGCTGTCGTTCAACTGGGAGCCCTTTTTGCTGCATGGCAGATGTACCTGCATGAAAGGGGCACTGACACATCAAAATCATATTTTTGTTTATTATCCGAAAAGATTGAAAATTATGCCGGGACATTACCCTCAAAATTCGAAACTTGGGAATTCAGTATTTGTGAAGTAAAAAAAAAAAACAATTTCCGAATGCCAAGTTTGAAGTTCCCGCACGATCCGTGCCAGTGCAGTGAGTAAAATTTTGCGGTCTCCTGCGACTCGACTTTCAATCGGGCTTCCGCTCCACGCTATCAAAGCGCCGTTGCCACGGCGACCCGAAGCGAGAAGCAGGTGAGCCGGCGGGATAGAAGGGCGCTGGCACGAAAAAAGACCGGTTTCTTCCCGACTCGCCGATAAGCCTCTGCTCGAACATTGCCAAGTTTTCCGAGGGAGGATACAAATCCAGGAAGCGACATCACACTGAAATCTGATTTTTGGTATTTCAAAAAGAGGGGCCATAGAGTGTTCGCAGTTGCGCTAAAAAACATGTTTTACGATTGCCGTTATTAAATGTTATAGAAATGTCGCCTACAAAGCTTTTAAATTTCCTGATTTTTGACATCACCGATCAAAAGAAACCAGGAGGTGAGCGCGGGAAATATAAACGCCAAAAATGAAAAGGCGCGCACGCGAGAGGGGGAACTTTTTTTTTTGCGATGCGGGTCTTTTTTGCGTGTCTGACTATAACTTGCATCGTTTTAGACAATAAAAAATAATACAACCTTTGGGGTGTCAGTGCCCCTTGAAGCCATACCATACCAATCACAATCCAACAGTTTTGTTCCCTTTATCTCAACAGGTGGAGGAAAGAAAAAGTCTGGCACTGGCACAAGTGCAGACAGTCGTGATACGTGAAACCATTAATTTATTTTCCTTTCTCATTCACTGTTTGAAATTATGTTACTGTAAGGCCTAGTTTTCTTCCTAACACTGCATTTCTAAGTAGCACGTTTAGAGCTATAACTATATTTATATTTTTATTGAGGTGCTGACTTACTCTCTTCTAGTTCATAGCATAATTTTAAAATGTGAAATTGATTGAAAGGAAACTGGTTTACTTACACATGTATATCATAATTGAACACACATTTAAGTTTTCCTGATGTAAATTGCAACATATCTATTCAGTTACTCTTTCATTGACTAGACATTACAGATTAAATACTTAACCAGCTGACTTGCACTTGACCTACCATGTGCAACTACTGCTTTTCTGATGTTAGACCTAACAAGTACCAAGCCCAATGTTTTTTGTGGTTATGCCCAGTTTTTGGGTGGGTGCTTGCTTATTATTTTATGGCATGCTTGGATCAGCAAAATTCAATCTGGAACATCATGCACAAAAGAGATACCTGCTTGTGTTTTCTCAACCGCTTTGCATGGAGGTTTTTCTGCCACAATGAACTCTTTGTTCGAATGGCAGTTCCAAAAGCAGTTCACCAAATTCATCATCATCAAGTTCAGTCCAATCTTGCAGAAACACCTGTCAAAACAAATAATCTTATGGAAGTAACTGGATGATAAAAATAGCATGTCTTACCTTAGACTTCTTTGAAGTGCATACGTCTTTTTCTTTAGCAAGTGTTAGAACGTCGCTCATCGTTCTCACATTTCCTACTTTTCGCACCGAGAGGTCTGCGCTCCATATTTTAACCAGCGGCATCACACCTGGGAAAAGAGAACCGTTATATTTTTGTTGAATTATTATTTTCACAGTGCCACTATCTTTGGAAACTTGGCCACATCTCCTGCAGTGTGGTCCAAAAGATGTTTGTTTACGCTTTTTCAAGGGCCTTCATTTGATTTAGCACCATATGATTGACCATAATGTATACCTAGTTTAACAACCTGCCACCAAAATTAATGTGGAATGAGAATGAGATTGGATATCTTTCAGAGTTTGTTTTGGACACAGACTTTGATGCTATGCACACTACTGTAACTTAGATGATCTATTATAACTCTTACTACTGAGATTTTATTGGGAATTTTAAGATTCAAGACACAATTGTGATTAAAAAGGATCTTCAGTCCTTTACTTTGGCATGCTATTGGCGTAAAGATCTAACTACCATAGAATACTGTGCATCCGCCCATTCCAGTCTAAGTGCCAATTCCCAATTTTGTAAGATATGAGAAAATATGCCAGTACATTGATACGTAAAATTGGTGACCGGACAAGTGTTCATCCCCCATTTTTTCGTATTTATCTCTAAAGTTTGAGTGGGCGCTAGCCTGATATTTTACGGTTAAGAAGCGCTTTGTCCATCGAACACAAAAACGCGTGAATAAGATTGCCTTCCTCAAATTTTTATTGTCCAACGCTGTATCAGATACCAACAAATAATTCTAGCCCTTGTTGCCCCAATGAGTTGAGTTCTCAACTTGGCCACTAGCGGCTCGACAGTTAGATCCCCCCCCCAATAGTCATGAACAGAATAAGAATATCAAGATCCATCAATTGTGCCACCTCCAGTGCAAGCTTCCTACCTTAAATGACAGCTGGGCGGGCTTGCTAGAAACAGCGTCTTGGCTGAGACTGTGTGAAAGAAAACACTGCCAAAGCCAGCACACAAGCTGAGCGGGACTCAAACTGTGTCGCAAGACGCTCGTGTGCCCCAGCCTTTGCAGTGCTTTTATCCACCCAGTCTTAGCTGAGATGCTGTTCTAGCAAGCAGGCCCTGGAAATCTGGTAAGCTTTGAGCGCGCATGTATAGCCAATGCATGAGGAAAGCCAAAGAGCGCATGCATACAAAAAAGGGGCCCCGAGCTTCTTTTCCTGTCGGTGACTGGAGATGCACATTAGGAGTGTGGCAAGCACATCCTGAGAATTTAGCTTTTTTATCTGGAAGGCACCTTGTCTGTGATGTGGTATCCCTGTATAGGGTGCTCAGCACTTTTGTTTGTTAAGGGCATGAAATAAATATATTGCATGGATCAAGGCATTGAAAAGCTCTTCAGATAGAACCCAACCCAGATGTTGAAGGGGAAGGGATAAGAAAAGGGAATGAATTGGCAGAAAACTACCTACTACTGCAGCCTGACAAATCATTAAAGATTCAAGGCAATGTGTCAGCTTGGGTTTTGGGGGCACAATAAAGTACCCGACTGAATCAATGGCCACTTCTGTAAACAGAACTTATAAAAAATGGTGCGGTTCCTTTTTGTTTTTATTAGACCAAGCAATCGCAAAGGAGCACTCAGAATTTGTCTGGAAACGCAAAATTAAGTCTTATAACTTTACTGTGACCAAGCGAATATGGCCGGTAAGATGTTGAATCAAGAAGCTTTTCTTGATTGAGAAGAACTAAGTCTCCAGTTGGATCCTGAAGACTGTACAGGCACATAGCTGGCAAGAGAGTAGCTGGTACACATTGAAGCAGAAATGCTACCTCTCCCGAGGCATTGGACCTAATGCTAGTCCCAACTCCAAACGTTATTTCAAAGCGATTGCCTGAAATGAGCACATAGTGACCAATTACATAAGTTGTCCCCTTAACGACAGCCTTTTCATAAAACGTCAAATTTCTTGCTGATTCTACATCTGCAAAGGCATGAGAAAGCTGAGACACTTCATCTGGCTGTTTGTGAGCTTTCGCGCCATGAAGCTCGACATCTGGCGGAAAGAGACCGCGGGAAGTCAAAAATGCCTGAAAGAATTGGTGCCTTTCGCTTAGCGTTTTGGTCACATTTTTAAAATTTTTTGTTGAACGAATGCAATTTTTGAAGTACTGGTGTTTGCTTTCGAATCTGAGTGTCCATACGTGAGACAATGGGCCAAACTCTTGGATGAGGTCACCATAGTGCAACATATAATGATGCTTCGGCCTCAGTTTGCCATCAGGAAAAAATGCTTTACGGTTGTGGATGTGCGTCTGAATTAAGACCTTGAGGTAAGCAACCTGTGCGTATGTTATTTTAGGAGCCATTAGCAAGTCAACTAGTTCCATTAACTCAAGACTTAACTGCCACACAGAGTCGCTTGGATCAATCACTTTATCCCCTACATACAGCGGCAGCAGCCGCAGGAATGTCCAGTTTCGCATGGCGTGGCCTGCAAGCTTATCACTCTTGCTGCTCACCTTACATGGCCTGTTTCTCAGGTCCCGTGAACTGTACTTCAGAGCCATAATCTTTATGTTTAAGTAGTCATTAGAAAACCACCCTTTGCGCACAAAGTACCTAATGAACAAGGGCAGACCATACTGAACTACACATTCAAACATCATGGCCAATACATGGTGGTAGGCCAGCTTGACATACGTGAAAGCTGCTTAGCACGTTAAAAGGTGACTTGCACACAACACCATACATGCCACATCCTTCGTCGTCATTTGTAAAGCAAGTTTCATAGTTTTCCACAGACCTCCTTTCACCTGTCAGGGTGGGGTCTTCATGAAATTGTGTACGAGTAACCAGGCAAAATCTGCAAAAATATGCAGACGTGCTAAAATTTTGCGTGAACCCACCAACTGCATGGCTCCCTAAATTATCCCCAACAATGAAGCACAGCTGCACTCTGTAAAGCTTCCCTTTGACCTCCAGACCCACACGTTATAGGTAGCACAGATCATCAATCAACGATTGAAGAATTTTCTTCAACCCAAACTCTTTTACATTTTTTTGAAGAGCAAGCAACACAAGCTGCATACTCTCAGTACGAGCCCTACAGTGTTGTGGCAAATTACCGAGCGTCAAATACACGCCCAATAACTTAAAGTTTCCCTTTGCAGACCCCAAGGGATTTGACAATTCAAATTCATCTTAATATAAGATGACTTGTATAACATCGTCAGAGGACTGAAATTGTTTGCATGTTGTGAAGTCAGTGAAACATTCATTGATTTCATTTGACCTATGAGGTTCCTGGGGCAAGTTGGACATCAACAGAACTATCAACTCATGCACAGGCACATGGTGGAAAAAAGAAGGGAAGTTCTGCTTGTTGGTACAAAGGTTAATCTGAACTGGCTTTACGAAGTGAAAAT